CAGGCATCACGTCCATTTGACATGAATCCCTTCCTCTCCAGGTATCACCCTTTGGGGATTATTCTCATGAGTCAAAACATGTTTTGCCCTTTTGCCTTTTTGCCTGTTTAAAGAGGACTATCCACATGTCTCCTCCTGAAATAATTTGTCACAAGTTTTTCCAAACCATGCTCCTCTCAAGTCCTTGACCATCCAGCCTAATCATTGGTTACAACCCATGAATTTGTATCATGTCAAATACCTGTTCTTTCTCCTTCCAGGAGGGGTGAACATCCAGGTGCACTGCTCAGAGTCGTGCCCACTGGGAGGAGCCCCCACAACATCCCTCAGGGATGTCCCAGACAGGACGGCAGGGCGCCCACTGTCCACTGTCAGGAGGTGCCTGTGTACCTCGCAGAGCGTCTGTGGTCCAGGTCTGCATCCTCTTCTTCTCTGTCAGCTGACTGTAGACAAATCCCCACTGGGTCACAGGTGAAGCTTAGGACAAAGGAGGCACCAATGCAGGAGGAGGGACCACGGGCATATGGGCCACTTCTAGGTGTGCCATCAGGCCTGCTCAGGCCTCATCACTTAGAAGATACTTCTGTTTGTTGATGGATTGTTGCTGTGTGTGCCCAGCAGTATGGCTTGGAGCCAGTGAGGGGTCAGATAACACCCAGGTCCTGATAGAAAGCCCAGCCCTGGGGATCTGCACTCAGCCCTGTGACAATGGACACAAAAGTGGGCTGTGGGCCCATGCAACCCACACACCTGTCGAGGTGGATCAGGTCAAATGACTGGCTGGGTTGGCTGAGCCGCAGGTCTGACCAACAGCAGTGAGGCCCAGAGCTTTCTCATCAGGGCACCGACAAGGGCCCAGCTCCGTGAGAATCAGCAAAACCAATGTCCACTCAGTTTGCAAGCCTCCCCTAGTGTCAGGTTCCTTTTGTCCTGTTTGCCAAAGTTAATCAGCTGCCCAGGCTGAGGGGCAGTGTGGGGACCCCGTCCATGTCCTGGATACAGAAGAATAACAGCTTTGTGGCTGACTTCTGTAAACATCAGCTACAATGTGCATCTGTGTGTGTGTGTGTGTGAGTGTTGGTGAGTGTGTTTGTGTGTGTGAGTGTGTGTGTGTGTGTTATTGGGATAGAGGAGGTGGATTTTACAAAAAGATCCATGGTCTTGATATATGAGGATTCTCTGACTGACCTTCCACCCAAGGATCCTAAGGGAAACAAGTGGCCCCCAGGAGCCTGAGGGCCTCTGGACTCACCGTGACTGTGGACTGTATCAGTGCACCTACAGCTCCAGGGAGGCGGCTCCTGGAAGATTCAGGAATTCCTTCCTGCAGTCTTCCTGCAGAGTATGCAGGTTTACTAAGGTCAATTCACTGCTTGAACAGGTGATACTAAAGGGATTCAGTGCCCTAGAGGGAGTATTCTGAAGCCAGACCAAAGCCCTTTATCACTGGACTGGGGATGCTGGATGTGCATCCCCTCTGAGCCCAGGCAGGAACCCCCCTGCAGGGAGGGGCTGGGCTGGAGGAGGCACTCAGGACCCCCAGCCCAGAGCTGTGGGCCCAGGAGCAGGTGCAGAGGGGGCTGGGATGGTTTCCTGTGTTGGCCTGACTCCTATTATTTCAAGTCAATACTTAAGACTCTTCATACTGAGAACTTGGCAGGACTGCCGATCTAAATTCACGTTGATTTGTACTGGGAGCACTTTCAAAACCCAGGAAATCAGTGAGAGTCACGTGTATAGTGGCATTTATAGGGGTTTAGATGTGTTTATTATGAGGAGCTCGAGGATGGGGATCGTTTCATTAACTCAAAGGGAGCAGCATCTGGGGACAAATGAAACCCACAAATTAGTCATTTATATACAAACATGAATATCAGTTTCAGGGGTCTCCGAGTCATTCAAAGGTGGGTTCACAATGAGGACCTGTGGGGGCTTGTCCCTCAGTGGGAGGAGCTCTCTCTGCGCAGGGTCAGGGACATGGCAGGGCATGCACATCCTCAAACAAGGATGACAGGGACCCTCAGCACCCATGGAGCTTGGTCCTTGTGTCCTCCATCAGCTCCTTCTCAACAGGGGTGAGGTCTCATTATAAAGTCTTCGGCCTCATGAATATGCAAATAAGCTGAGGTGTCCAGGGTTAAATATGGACATTCTGAGCCCTGGGAACACCACAGGACAACCACACCCCCGTCCTCCACAGACACCCCAGCGCACAGCCCTCACCATGGACTGGAGCTGGGGAGCCCTCTTCCTGGTGGCAGTGGCTGCAGGTCAGGGGGCTCCCCAGGCTCTGGGATGAGGGGGGATCGGGAACCAGTCGATGGGTATCTCATCCAGTTGTGTCTCTTGTCGCCAGGTGCCCACTCGCAGGTCCAGCTGGTGCAGTCAGGGGCTGAGCTGAGAAACCCTGGGGCATCAGTGAAGGTCTCCTGCAAGGCTTCTGGATACACCTTCACCAGCTACTACATAGACTGGGTGCGACAGGCCCCTGGACAAGGGCTTGAGTGGATGGGAAGAATTGACCCTGAAGATGGTGGCACAAAGTATGCACAAAAGTTCCAGGGCAGAGTCACCTTCACTGCAGACACGTCCACCAGCACAGCCTACGTGGAGCTGAGCAGTCTGAGATCTGAGGACACGGCCGTGTATTACTGTGCGAGAAACACAGTGTGACACACCCACATCCTGAGTGTGACAGAAACCCTGAGGGACTGGGAGGCTGGGCTGGGATGAGATGACGACAAAGCCATTTAGGTGGCTTTTGCCATAGAAAGTGGGGTTAGGTAGTTTAAACTTGCAAAATAGGTACATGTACTCACTAGTTATATGGGAAGATTTCCTTAAATGAATCATCATTTCAGAAAATTTCAGGGACTGAAAAAATGCTCTAATCAAAAGCTGATGGAAGCATTCCCACCATGGTAACTGGGGGGTGAACATGAATTTTCAGTGGACTTGGGTCAATTTGTTGTAGTCACTGCATACTCACATGGTAAGGGTACATCCAAATCCAACAGAAATCGTGAGCGTCTTCCATAGTGGCTGCCGTGTTCATTCCCACCAGCAGGTGGATGGGATTCCCTGTGGACCCACATCCTCACCCACAGCTGCTTCTGTCAACATGCTGTGCTTCAGTCATCCTGGCACGCGATTCAGAGCATCACATTGTCGTGTCATTTTATATTTCCCTACTTATAAGACCAAGTCAATCAGCTATTCATAGTTTAATTAATGAGGTATCTCTTCAGCTTGTTTGACACTTTTCGGTTGTATTTTTTTTAAATTAAGTGTCAAGTTCTTGTTTATGTGATAACATGATCTGTTTAAGAAACATGCAGTTGGACTCGGAGAAGATGGCGGAGTAGAAGGGCACTCACAGCTCACCCTCTCCCACAAATGCACCAAGACCCACATCCACAGACCCACTCAGCCAACCAGAGCACCTGCGGAGCTCCGACAGAACATCGCCCTCTTCAAAAGTAAAGACGCCAAAAATCTGGATGGAGGAAAGGGAAAAAGAAAGAACAAAAGGCCAAGCAGAGCTGGACGGGTCCGGCGGGGAGGGAGTGGCAAAGGAGGACTGGCCCTCGCTCGCTGGGTCTCCCCTCCCCAACTGAGAGGCCAGCGGGATGGAGGGGGAGCCTCCGAGGCTCGGATCTGCACAGAGCAGCCCTCGTCTGACAGAACTAAGCTAAGCGGGCACAGAGTGTCCCCCCGACACCCAGCCTGAGACCCGGGCTGGCAGAGGCGGGCAGGGCCAGGCTGCACAAGCCGGGCAGAGGACGGGGGCGGCTGCACGGAGGCAGCTCCGGGGGACTGCAAGGGGCTGGGCGCCGTGGCTGTGGGTGCACAGGG